TTTAACCTAAAAAATCTCAAAAATCTCCCTAAATTCTTAACTAAGAACAAGAACATACAAAAAATACAATTAAACATCTTTGATATCCACACACATCTCAACACGTGAAGGTAAACAATAAAGAAAAGGAAGTATGACTCAGTGAGAGGTATTAGAGGTGAAGTCGTAGGTTGTCACGTGGGCCGTTAATAAAATCCCTCGGTGATAGTAATATAACAATATATAATAACCGAGTGTGTGATGTGCCAGCCGATAATTTCGGCACATATATGTAACAAGTAACATGCAACTGAAAAAGCCACCCCGAAGAGCGGGGGGTGGTGTAACATAAAAGTGTGTCGATAGTCGATATTGAAATATTTTGAGGAAGCTGTCGAGCACGTGGTAGAATCAAATTACCTGATACTGTACGTTGGCCTGATGTTGTTGAGTTTAGTCTTGTAAAGAATTAAAGTAAAGCGATCCATTCCACATATGAGGATAAAAAGGAGGAGAGAATGAAAAGGGACAGGTATATCCATCAGAAATATATATTCGCTCGGCCAGAGAGACGGCGGTCTGTTGCGCCAACTACCACAGAGTGGGGGAAGAGGAGCACGTTGAGACAGAAGTGGGGGAAGAGAAGCGCGGAGGAGATCGGGAGTGGGGGGAAGCGAGCGTGTGCTATCTCGAGTTCATTCGGCAGCTGCGGATTCTGAATGCATATTTTGTGTTTTATATTGAGGAGAATTTGTTGTAAGACCCGGAGGAAGAGCATGTGCTCAGCCAGATATTCAGATATACATATCAATTTGGGTCCGATTTATATGGATGTGTGGTAATAACATATGGAAGGACCGGCGATTATTTTTAGTGGGGGAGGATATTTTTTTAGCTTGAGGTTTTGGGGAAGGGAGATTTTTTGGGGGAATAATGAAAAATTGAGGAAGGTTCTGGAGGAATTAAGTGGTCAGGTTTTTTTTTGGAGAAATTTTAAAGGGAGTAATAATTAAAATAAGAATTGGAGATATGAGTGATTTTGGAGGGGGGAGTTTATAATTGATTTTTGGGGGTGAAGAAAATTTTTTAAAAATAAAAAAAAAATTCTGGGAAATTCTGGAGGAAATTCTGAAGAAATTGAGGGGTCAGATGAAATTTTTGGAGAAATTTTAAAGGGAGTAATAATTAAAATAACAATTGGAAATATGAGTGATTTTTGAAGATTTTGAAGGTGGGGGAGTTTAAAATTGATTTTTGGGGGCGAAGAAAATTTTTTAGAAATAAAAGAAAAATTTGGGAAGATTCTGGAGGAAATTCTGAAGAAATTAAGGGTTCAGATTATTTTTTGGAGGTATTTTGGAGGGGAAAAAAAATTAAATTAAGAATTGTATATAAGAGCGGTTTTTGGGAATTTTAGAGGTAGGGGAGTTTAAAATTGATTTTTGAGGGTGAAAGAAATTTTTTACGAACAAAAGAAAAATTGGAGGTGAGTCTGCATTAAATTCTGAGGAAAATGAAGTGTCATTTGAATTTTTTATATGATTATAAATAATAATAATAATAATTAAAATAAGATTTATTTAAGAGAGTCATTTTTAATATGTGTTAATTTTAGCGAGTTTAAAATTGATTTTTGGGAATGATGGAAATTTTTTAAAAATAAAAGAACAATTAGGGAGATTCTAAAGGAAATTTTGGAAAAATTGAGGGGCAAGTTTATTTTTTTGGTGGAATTTTAAGAGGACTAATAATTAAAATAAGATTTTTAGATTAAAGTGATTTTTGGGGGATTATAAAAGTAGGGGAGTTTTCAATTGGATTTTTGACAGGGATAAATTTTTTTTTTTAAAACAACAATTGTTTAGATAACTACATTAAATTTTGGAGAGATTAGTGGAAGAGTTTATTTATTTTGAAGAATTTTAAGAGAAGTAATAATAAAAATAAAATTTTTATACAAGAGAAATTTTTGGGAATTTTGCGGATGTGAGAGTTTAAAATCAAATTCTTGAGAAGAAAAAATTTTTTTTTGAGTAAAGAAAAATTGGCGAAAATTCTCTATTCAATTCTGAAGAAACTTATGCATGAATAATTTTTTTTTCACTAATTTAAAGTCTAGTAATAATTGAAATAAGATCATTTCGCATCCGCAATTTTTGATTATTGCTAATTTTTTCTTTTAAATTTAATTTTCTCAGTAGAAAAATTTTTTTAGAATTATAAGAAGGGATATACAGAATTTTGCATTAAATTCCGAAGAAAATGACCTATCACTCGACTTATTCCAACGTATCTAAAGGGTAGAAATAACAAAAAGATAGTTTCTAGAAAGTTCAGTACACTTTTTACCACAACAATTCTAGAATTTTTTTTAAAACTTTCTAGAACTTCTAGAAAAATTTCAAGTTTAAGAATCTTCAAAATTTTATTTAAAAAAAATCAATCAAACCTTCTAAAAAATTCTAGAAATTTTCCAGAACTTCTAGAAAAATTTCCAAGTTTTAAAATCTTTAAAAAAATTTTTTTTTTTTCATTTTAGATGAAAGAGTTTAAAAAAATCTATAATATAAAATAAAATTTCTCCTTCCTAAAAGTACAAAGCCTCGGTGAAAACACAAAAGACACAAAAGATGAAAAAAATGGATTTTTGAACATAACACCGAGATCCGATCTAAATAAATTGAATGAGTTTGAGGATTTTCTGTTTGTTAAATAAAAATAGTAAATATAAATCCGCGTGTGTGGAAAAGAAAGTATATAATATTAAATATAAAATAAAAATGGGTAAGGGTGGGTTTGAGAAATTCAAGAACAAGCTGCAGCTTGTGACTTGAGTACACATCGCATCTGATATTATATTAAATAAACCCTCTTTATCATTATTATTATTATTATATCTAAGGATTCTCTGAGGGGTCACAATTTTTTGTCCTCTCGAACTAAACGTCGAATAACATATATGTAGTCGAGGGTCTATTAAATAACCACCCGAAAATTTTTTCCGCAGCTGCTGCCTCAGAATCCGCCACGTGCCGGCTGGAAAATCCTCTAGTGTTTTTTTTTTATTTTTTCTTAAGCGTGGATTCAATTATCTGAAGGTTATTTATTTTTTTAGGGAGCTAAGCCGGGGTTTATTTGGGATTTTATGACCTTATTACGAGGGTAGACAAGTGCTGAGTCGAAAAAAAATTATTAACTTTGGAAGATAGGAATAACGCACTTGAAAAATCTTCGGCTTAATTGAGACAGAAGTTTTTTTTAAGAGCTGGCGGAAAATACAGTTTTTTTTGGATAACAGAAAATTGAGATTTTTTTTTAATTCTAGAATTTGAAGATTTTTGGGAAAGCCTAGAAAATTAAAAAATTTTTTAGTTCTGGAAAATTTGAGTTTTTCAGAATTTTTGGAAAATTACAAAATTTTTTTAATTTTCTAGACGATCAATTTTTTCTAAAATTTTGGAAAATTTTGAGATTTTTTTAAGATTCTAAAACATTTTTTAGAAATTAAAAAAAATTTTAATTTTTAGAAATTTAGAAAAAATTTGATGATTTTTTTTGGAAAATTAAGTTTTGAATTATTTTAAGTCAGAATTTTTCTAGAACTTCTAGAAAATTAAAATTTTTTTTAATTCTCTTAAAGTTCCAGAAAATTTACAGTTCCAAAATTTAAAAACCAGAAAATTCGGTGATTTTTCTAGAAAATTGAATTTATAATTATCTAGAGTTTAGAAATTTTTTAAGAATTCTAGAAGAATTTTATGGGCTCTAGAATTCTTCAAGAAAATTTCCTTGTGACTCCTACCCATCTAACATTGAATACTCTGGAAATTTAAGCGTTAGCATTGAAATTTAGAATATTCTAGGACTTGAAAACTTTCTAGAAAATTTCAAGTTCTAAGCCAAAAATTTAGTGACACTTCTACAAAATGATATTAAAAACTATCTAAAATTTCCGAATTTTCTAGAACTTCTAGAAGAATTAAAAAGAATTCTACAATTCTGCACTAAATCAGTTAAAACTTTCTAGAACTTATTTTTTGCTTATTACTCCTCTTTACATAGATCCAAACATGTCGAGTGATGTATCATTTTCTTCAGAATGAAACCCAAAATCTCATACAACCATCGAAAAATAAATAAATCCAAAAGTAAATTTTTTTTGGAACATTCTAGAACCTATTTTTTGATAATTACTCTCTTTTAAAATGAAGAAAGTACATCAAGTGCTATATCATTTTCTTCAGAATTAAATGCAAAATATTTTACAACCATTAGAAATTTTTTAATTCAAAAATAAATTTTTTTTGAACATTCTAGAACCTATTTTTTGCTAATTACTTTACTTTAAATACTTTTAAACATGTCAAATGATACATTATTTTCTTTAGAATGAAATGCAGAATCTTTTACAACCATCAAAAATTTTTTTAATTCAAAAATAAATTTTTTTTGAACATTCTAGAACCTATGGTTTGATCATTACACCTTTTTATAATGATCAAAGTATATCAAGTGATATATCATTTTCTTCAGAATTAAATGCAGAATTTTATACAACCAAAAAAAAATTCTCTACTTAAATTTCTAGAACTGAAAAATTTTCCAGAACTCCTAGAAAATTTTTTTCCTCTAAAAATCTCACCCGCAATAAAAAAATCAATACAGACATAATAAATGTCAGTGAATTGGCAATAAACGAATAAAAATCAAGGCCGAGCGTGACGTAAACTGTGTTACCATTACCATAAACTTTATTGGAGATAATAAAATAATGGTACTGGTTATCACATAAAACATCATCCTGCTCAATTTTCCTATCCATCCTTCACATTATACTCTTGCCCCCATTATCACACATCCAATATGATTATTAAATCATCACATCACTGTGAGTGAATCATCGAATAACTTAAACTTTAAACATCGCTCTAATTCCAAAATCGCTAATCATTAATCGCTAATCAGTGAGTTAATTTATTAAAAAAAAAAAAAAAGTCACACACTCGGTGATTTTATCGTAAATGACAATCTTATCGGCGCTATCTTTATCGGTAGATAAAAATGAAAAGAAAAATAAAAGACGTTGTGTTTTGTCACACGGAAAAAAAGGAGGTGAGTGGAGAAAATTATTGTATGGAATAAAACTCGTGACTTTATGTAAGTATTAAGTAGGTGACACACACACACACATGTTATGTGTATTGAGACACAGGTTTTAAGATTAAAAACCATGCGTCGTCATCGTCCCACGTGCAGTAACGCGAGCACTCATTAATAATTGGCCATTTCCCTCTTATATTAAACTCCCGGCCTTTTTTTTCTAAGTTATTACACTTTATAATATAATTATTTTATTATGGAGGATAACCAAGAGTACTATTATTTTTTTTTATTTTTCGTCGAGAGATTCCTTTTGAGCTTTTAACAAGTGACAGCTTTTAAAAAGTCTTACATTAAATTTTTATATAATTTATGTATGCTTAAAAAAAATTGGAATTTTTTTTTTGATGATAAAATTTATTTTTTTTAAGAAAAAAGAATTTTTGGAAAATAACTAAATAAAATTTTGCTGTACTAAATAATGACTTTTGTTAAATTGCACTGTATTTTTTTAATTATTGACATTTTTAAAGGTATAAGGTCATCCTGATGTTACACTCATCAAGAGCTTTCATTTGAGTACCCACATGCATTTTTGATATATTTTTCATATATACATATATATAATATGTATTTTAAAGATATAAGCTCATCCCGATGTTACACTCATCAAGAGCTTTCATTTGAGTACCCACATGCATTTTTGATATATTTTTCATATATACATATATATAATATATATAAATATATGAAATATATGAAAAATTGATGTGGGTACTCAAATGAAAGGTCTCGATGAGTGTAACATCGGGATGAGCTTATATCTTTAAAAATATCAATAGTTCACAAAATACAAGGTCATTTCTTATTTGTGTATCTAGAGATAAAGCATTTTCGAATGCAGCCTAAGTATTTATTATAATAAATTGGCTATAGGTGAGAATGATATGAAACCTTGAAAAGGCACAAATTCAAGTCAAGACCTTTACAATGACACTAAAATTCACCTATCCTGGACACAAAATATTCTAGAAGTTCTAGAAAAATTAAATTTTTACGTTAATTTATAGAAAAGTTGAGCTAGTCTAAAATTCCTAGAAAAATGCAAATTTTCCAGAGGTTCTCAAAAAAATTCAAATTTTCCTGCAAATTCTAAAAAAAACTTCAAACTTTTCAAAAGTTCTAGAAGAAATAAAAATTTTCTAAATTAAAAAAAAGATTAAATTTTTTCTACGAATACTAAAAAAATTTTGACTTCAAATTTTCTAAAAATTATAAAAAGTTGAATTTTTCCAACGAATTCTAGAAAAATTCTGCACTAAAACATAAGTTAAAATTTTCTAGAACCTATTTTTTGCATATTACTCCTCTTTAAATAGATCCAAACATGCCAAGTGACGCATCATTGTCTTCAAAATTAAATCCAAAATTATATACAATCATCCAAAAATGAATAAATTCAAAATTAAATTTTTTTTGAACATTCTAGAACCTATTTTTTGATCATTGCGCCTTTTTAAAATGATCTAACTACATTGAGTGATACATCATTTTCTTCAGAATCAAATGCAAAATTCTATGCAACCATAAGAAATAAAAAAATTAAAAAATAAATTTTTTTTGAACATTCTAGAACCTATTTTTTAATCATTACTCTCTTTTAATATGATCTAAGTACACCGAGTGATACATCATGTTTTCCAGAATTAAATGCAGAATCTCATACAATCATAGAGAAAATTCTCAACCTAAATTTCTAGAACTGAAAAACCTTCCAGAACTTCTAGAAAATTTTTCCCTCTAAAAATCTCACCTGTAATAAAAAAAATCAATACAGAATTTTGTCTACGAATCCAAAAAAAACTTTTCAAAAGTTTTATAAAAAATTAAAATTTTCTAGAATTTAAAAAAAGTTAAATTTTTCCGAATTCTAGAAAAATTCAAATTTTCCAAAAGTTTGAAAAAAAAATTCCTAAAATTGAAAAAAGTTAAATTTTTTATACAAATCCTAAAAAAACTTCAAACTTTCTAGAAAAAAAATTCAAACTTTCCAGAAATTCTAGAAAGTTCATTTTTTTTAAATCTCATAAAAATTTCTAAACTTGAAAAAATAAAAAAAATTCTAGCCAATTCCATCTCTTAAAATTAATCCAAAAAATCTTGTTCCAGGTCGGCGACGACACGTGTGTCGGAGTTGCGGTGCACCTGCTCCAAACTCTTCATCATCATCATCATCATCATCATCATCAGCAGCAGCAGCAGCTTCCAGTCTCCCGAGCCCGTTACCAAGCCCGGAAACTCTCAAGCTGGATTGCAGACTGAACCACTTGCAGGATAAAGAAGACAACTATGACGTGAGATTAGGGTGCTGCTACTCCCGGCTAAGAAGTCACCAGCTCCACGATCATCACAGTCATCATCACCATCGTCATCACCAGGGAGGTTATCTCGATCTAGATGCTGACAATCAGAGCAGACAAGAGTCGTCTTCCTCGAGGCATACTGCCTCCTCGGACAACCGGTTACTCCAGGACTCCTCTGATGACTCTCTCACTAGGATAACGGGGCTAAGGACGACTTCTACCACTATTCCGACGATATCTTCTTCGAAACGGGACTTTACTATTAATTATAATAATAATACTAATATTAATAATAATAATAATAATAATAATAATTATAATTATAATAATAATAATATAGAATGTGGTAATGTTGAAATAAATAATAGTAAACAAATTTTACAAACGAGACAAAGAACAAGAAGAGAAACATGTCGAGACACGAATAGAACTGTTGATACTATACATAGAAGAAATGGAATTCCTTCGTATTTAGCGACGATATTATTGTTGTCATATGCCTTGTTTGGAATAGCAGGTTAGTATATTTTTTTTGATTTTTAATTTAGAAACTTAAAAAAAATTTTTTTTTTCATATAATTTTATATAAAATCATAAATAATTTTTTATAAAATTATATAATTATATACAAGTATGGAAAGTTACATATAATTTTATATAACTATCTAAAAAAAAATGTTTTCATATAATTTTATATAAAGTAATTTTTTTCCAAATAATTTTATATAAAATTTTAGATAATTTTTTATAAAGTCATATAATTATATACTAATATAGAAATCTACATATAAATTTATATAATAAATTTTTTCCATAACTATTAATTAAAAATATTTTTTCATATAATTTTATATAAAATTATATAATTATATACAAATATGGAAATTTACATATAATTTTATAAAACCATTAAAAAAAATTTTTTATATAATTTTATATAAAGTAATTTTTTCCAGATAATTTTAGATAATTTTTTATAAAGTCATATTATTATATACTAATATAGAAATCTAAATATAAATTTATATAATAAATTTTTTCCATATAATTCTATATAACTATTAACTGAAAATATTTTTTCATACAATTCTATATAAAATTATAGATCATTTTTATAACGTCATATAATTATATACAAATATGGAAATCTACATATAATTCTATATAACTATTAATAAAAAAAATTTTTTTCTTATAATTTTATAAAAATTAAATTTTTTCCATAGAATTTTATGTAAAATTATAAATAATTTTTTATAACGTCATATAATTATATATAAGTATGGAAATCTAAATACAATTTTTTCTTATATAATTTTATATAAAGTTATGCACTATTATATGTACCGCTGCAAAATTTTGTTCAAATATAAAAATTTACATATAATTTTATATAACAGCGCATTGCATGAGTTTTTATTCTATATAAAGTTGTATGTAATTGAATTATATAGAACAATGTATAATTATAGAAAACTGTATCAAATTATTGAGACCCAAAAATGATATATAATTTTATACAACAGTTTTTTTTTAATTGTATTAAATTGAATTGAATTGTATGGGATAATGTAGAATTATAAATGACAAATATTAATACTGTTTTTTATAATTATAGAAGGAAAAATAAAATTGTATAAGACTGAAGCTTGAAACAATGTAAAATTATACATGGCTGAAAATCATATTCAACTTTATAAAATCATTTTTGTATAGCTCTCAATAATTATATGAAACAAAGTTTATATAATTTTACAAAACATTGAAAATTATGCAGAATCAAAATTTTAAGAATTTTCTACAGTTATACAAAACAATACAAAGTTATTTAAATAGGAAACTCATATAATTTTTCATAATTATATGAAACAATGTAAAATTATATATGCTAAAAATGCTTATTATTTTACAACCGAATTTTCATATATTTTACTACAATAATATGAAACAATATAATATTATATTAAACCAAAATTTATTAAATTTTCTATAATTATAAAAAACAATGTAAAATTATATAAGGCTGAAATTTATATAATTTTCTATAACTATATCAAACAATATAAAATTATAGATGCTAAAAATTCTTATAATTCGACAAACGAATTTTCATATATTTTTCTATAATATGAAACAATCTATCATTATATTGAACCGAAATTTATTTAATTTTCTATATTTTTAAAAAACAACGTAAAATTATATGTGCAAAAAATTCTTATAATTTTACAAAAAAATTTTTTTACAAATTTTTCTACAATAATATAAAATGATACACAACAAAAATTTATATAATTTTTTACAATTATACAAAACAATGTAAAGTCATGCAAATCTAAAATTTGTATAATTCTATATAATCAAAGTCATATAATTTTACATAATTATTTTAAGCAATGTAAAATTATACACAACAAAAAATTATATAATTTTATACAATGATACAAAACAATGTAAAGTTATATAAGCCTGAAATTTATGTAATTTTATATAATCAAAGTCATATAATTTTACATAATTATTTTAAGCAATGTAAAATTATACACAACAAAAAATTATATAATTTTATACAATGATACAAAACAATGTAAAGTTATATAAGCCTGAAATTTATGTAATTTTATATAATCAAAGTCATATAATTTTACATAATTATTTTAAGCAATGTAAAATTATACACAACAAAAAATTATATAATTTTATACAATGATACAAAACAATGTAAAGTTATATAAGCCTGAAATTTATGTAATTTTATATAATCAAAGTCATATAATTTTACATAATTATTTTAAGCAATGTAAAATTATACACAACAAAAAATTATATAATTTTATACAATGATACAAAACAATGTAAAGTTATATAAGCCTGAAATTTATGTAATTTTATATAATCAAAGTCATATAATTTTACATAATTATTTTAAGCAATGTAAAATTATACACAACAAAAAATTATATAATTTTATACAATGATACAAAACAATGTAAAGTTATATAAGCCTGAAATTTATGTAATTTTATATAATCAAAGTCATATAATTTTACATAATTATTTTAAGCAATGTAAAATTATACACAACAAAAATTTATTTAATTTCACAAAAAAAATTTTTATTCAATTTTCTACACTAAAAACTCTCTCTTCTTTCTCTCTTAGTACTCATGTCTTCTTTGTATCTGTACTGAAAAAGCCTACACATTATATCTACAAAAACACAGCCTTATAATTTAATAACATAATACAATATACAATATACTACAATACTACTTATGATATTTGACACATTTTGACATGGACACACTTAATTACAATGATTATTATTATTACACACCCAGGGAATCGTTGAATTTGAACAGGTGACAGATAGTACAAGCAGATGCGACCCACCAAATATTTTGTTCCGACAAAACGTACACACGTTATAACTTGCAATTCAAACCGTTTCTTCTTTTTCTTCTATTTTTTTTTCTTACTCAAAACACGCACACATATTTATATATATGTTCATTGAATTCTCAAATATCGTACAACTCTATTGTAATTTAAAGAGTAGAATTTTTTTTTATTATTATTTTTAAACTTAGAATTAGATTTTTTTTTTAAGAAAAAAAAATTTTATTTTTAAAATTTTGATTTTTTTTTTATTTTAAAATTTGGTTAAATTTTTTTTTTAAGAAAAAAAAATCATAATTTTTACTTTTTTAAAATTTAATTAAATTTCTTTTTAAGAAAAAAAAATTATAATTTATAAAATTTTGTTTTTTTTTTTGTACTAATTTTTTTTTTTTTTAATTTTAGATGCATGTTCTTCAAAATCGACACCGAAACCGCGGCCTCCAACGACAACAGCTCGCCCCAGCATCACATTCCGTCAAAATCCATGCCCGCCTGATTACGCGGAGTGGTATTGTCTGAACCAAGCGACTTGTTTTACTGTCAAAATACAAGACTCTTTACTCTATAATTGCCTGTAAGTAATTATTATAATTATTAAATTATTAAATAATTTTTTTAAATATTAAAAAAAAAAAGAGCGATTTTAGGAAGAAAATTTGATTTTTTTCGGTGAAAAAAATTTTTTTAAAATAAAAAAAAATTGAGAAAGATTCTGGAGGAAATTTTGGAGAAAATAATGTACAACTTCATTTTTTTTAATTATTATCAGTAGTAGTAATAATTAAAATAAAATAAAATACATAGAAGCGATTTTTGGTAGTTATGAATTGGAGAGTTTGAAATTTATTTTTTGAATCTAAAAAATTTTTTCCAAAGAAAAAAAAATTTTTGTAAGAAACTACGTTAAATTCTGAAAAAATTAGTGTATGGATTTATTTCTTTGGAAAAATTTTAAGAGGGGTAATAATCAAAATAAGATTCATGTAAAAGAGTGATTTTTGGACATGATGAATTTTGGAAGGTTTAAAATGTATTTTTTGAGACTAAAAAAATTTTTTTTTTTTAATTAAAAATTTTGCGATGATCTACATTAAATTATGAAGAAGATGATCTATTTATTAATTTTTTTTCGTCATTTAACAGGTAGTAATAATTAAAAATAACATTCATATTTAAGTCATTTCATGAATTTTTAAAATTGGAATTTTTTTTTAATTTAAAATTCAGTTTCAGGACTAAAAAAAATATTTTTTTGAAAAATTTAAAATTCTCCGTTAAACTCTATTAAAATCTGCGTATAATAATGTACGACTATTTTTTTTGATCAATTATAACAGTAGTAATAATTAAAACATAATTAGTTTATTATGATTAGTATTTAGGCTGCATTCGAAAATGCTCTATCTCTAGATACATAATTAAGAAATTACCTTGTATCTTTTGAACTATTGACATTTTTAAAAATATAAGCTCATCCCGATGTTACACTCATCAAAAGCTTTCATTTGAGTACCCGCATCAATTTTTCATATATTTTATATATTTATATATATTATATATATGTATATATGAAAAATATATAAAA